CCGTGGCTTCTACTGAAGGGTATTTCTTGCAGTAAAAGGATTTAAAGAATCATTTACACCCTCTCAGGAGAAGACAAGCACAAAATAACTCTGGAAATACCTACTTCTTAACAAGATGCTGAATGATTATGTAAAACACCTATGGTAGCAGCTCAACATCCCCTGGGCTGATCAGAACTGGACCTGTTGATGGAGGTGATGGGCAGACAGGATAACACTGACATTTACACTTTGATGAGCTAATTTATTTTTTAACACACTTTTTAATGCAGCTGCTGACAAAAGTCAAATCAAGCATCCACTAGAACAGCAAATGGCTTCACAGGTATCTCCAGTATGGTGGTATCAGCTGGAGACAATTTGGTGGCAGGAGACAATTTGAGCTGGTCTTTGGAACAGGACAGGGTACTTGTTAGGTACTTGTTACAGCAGACACTGTGGAAGTAGCTCTCTGAAACACACACCTTGGGGGCACATCCGAGTTATTTCCACACCCAGTTTTGTGGGTTTAGGAATGTGGAGAATGTGAGTTATGCTGCTCTTACTTGCTGGAGGTACATATCAACACTTCTCTTGGTACCCTTAGGTGCAGACAGCTGATGAATCCAGCAGCAGTACCGGTATGCCTACACTGTGTAGAGCCCGACAGACCCTACAGCGAGTATTCTGCTGAAATGTATGCCTGCAAGGTGTCCGCGGTGCAGAAATGCCACACCATGCTCTGCAACACCCCTTTCTTTCCCCTTTAAAGTCATGAACCTCTTGTTTTCCTCTTCAAAGGAATACAGGACAAATATGCTGTATTACAATTGTCTCATTTGCATGTATTTTTCTTCTTCAGGTAACTCTTCCTCTCCCCATCACACTGGATGGCCTAGCTGACTGATACCCTCTGTACCTGCAATTTTCAAAATGAAACACTAAAAGTGTTTTCACAATGAAACACTAAAGCAGCTCAAACTACTCTCCCTGTCCAGTCCCACTTCACTCGTCGTTCCCCCAGCTAGCCGTGGTTAAAGATAAAATGATCAACAGTCCTGTAGGGACTTCAGGAAGATTCATCAGCTCAAAACTCCACAGGCAAAAATTCTGATGTACCCATCAGTCAGTCTTCAATAATCATCTTCCAGACGTGTCTTCTGTGTTGTTTCACGGGGTTATGTTAAGTACTTCAGTGATTTGAGAGTTTTGCACATGGCACATATTAAACATAGTGATGCATTTTGACACTTCCTAAATTGGTGTTACAACTTCCTGGCCCATTCAAGAGGGAAGCCACCCCAAGCCAGTCAACAGAGCAAACTTGTTCTGTCAATGAACCCCTTTGCAGTTTGTGGATTACCGGTGCACATAACTGCAGTTTTTCCTCGCCAGAGATGTAATGATATTTTCTTCCAAATTTCAGGTCATGCCGTTGCTCATAAGAAACTTCACAGTGAAAGGAGATTTCTTTTCTTTTTTGAGCACCCCTTAGTCCTTGTCTGCAATTAAAAGGGTTTGAGTTGGTCATCCCTTCATAGAGACAGATCTATTGAAATGTGGGCACTTCAGTGTGACTGAGCCATCTTCTGTTTAGATGATCTCTGAGGTCCCTTCCTGCCTATGCCATTCTATGATACACTATGAAATATTTTATAGTATCAGATTAGCTCATTATTGAGTAGTTTTACAGATGAAATTTCTTCCTCCTGAGATCTTTTCTTTTACATAACTGTACTGGCAGACTTAAACCTAGACCTCCTTTATGCTTTATATATATATATTTATATATCAAAGCTCTATAAATTTAGCTAATATTTTTTTCTGAGAAAATTATCCATGATTGCAGCCTCACATAACTAGATTGCTCCATAAAAAACATCAGTTTAATAGCACTCAAATAAGTAGAATCAACTGTTACAGATTACTGGGAAAAGAAAATTGAGTCTTGAGAGAGATGTCTACAAAAGTCCAGGTGGCACAGAAACGTTGGAAAGGGATTAGTCTCTCTGAAACAAGAATGAGGGGTCACCAAATTGGCAGAAGCCAAGTTCAAGAAACAAGAGAGGTTTACGAAGCCAGTGATAACTCAGGGGAATTCCTTTCCAACCAGAGCCAAGACAAGTTTACATGGATTCCAATGACAACTGTCGAAGCATGTAGATAAAAAGAACTTTGAGCATCACCAGACAACTCACATCATAGTCAAGAAAGCCCCTGAGATGACTCATCTAGAGAAGACTAAGAAGAGGAATCATGCATTTGATTTATTTTTCTGGGCAACCCATAGATCTGGCAGCTCTGCAGACAGATTTAGCTGGATGAGCTCTTGGTCTGCACCGAATCAACCGCTTGTTCTGGCAGACTGGCAGAGCAGAAGACATCCATTTCACTTCCTTTCTTCAGTGGCTAACCAGGAGCACAGAACGCACAAGCAGCTACAGCTCAAGCTGAAAGCGCAGTAGGCATCAAGTGCTACAGATGAACTGGCAGTTCTCAGAACTTGTAATCTGCAAAGTGGGCACTCATTGCTTCGTGCATCCCAAAACAGGTAACACGCACTGTCATCTTAAAAAGTCTTTAAAAATCGGACTTTAAGTTGCTCAGGAACTAAATCAAATGCACACCATGTACCCAAACCCTTGATCGGCTTCCACACTGCTTCATTTCAAAGTTCCATTTTAAAGAACAAGCGTGGATTCTAAGTCCATCTATGGTTCCTTGCCAGTAGGCCTGAATTAAGGCCATCTCCTCTAGTTCTTAAATTTCCTTCTGCTCCTGGAAAGAAGAAAGTATAATCATCTCTAACCTGGCTTCAACTTACTCTAGAATGCAATCATGTTAAAAAAAAACCTCCTTTGATGAATAGGACATAAAAATAATCTTACATATCTAACTCCTGATTACAGCTAAGAAATAACTACACGTAGACACAGCTTAAGGAGAGGAGGGTTGGGTTTGTTGGTGAGGGGTTTGGGGGTTGTTTTTCAGGTCTGTTTGTGAAAAGCAGCTGAATACTAAGACAGAGGTCAGTCCACTGGAAACGAAACAGCTGCTTTGAGCAGAAGAGGAAATCTCTCCTTTCAGAGACCGAATGCCCACATCTATGCTCTGTGGGAAGGGAGAATTCTTCCGAGTGTGCCACTTATTGTATCCAAGACAGATAGGGCGGAAGTTGATCTTCAAAAGAAAACATACACAACCAAGAGAAGCCATTAAAAACGGATATTAAGTTGGCACATGTATGAACTATGTAGAGTACACACCTTCAGGAGAGATCGAAGTAATCTCATACTGAAGGGGTCAAAATTCTGCTATACTGCGGCTGTGAAATTTCTGAACGTTTTCAGAGGCATAAACTGTTGAGGGTTTTTTGTGTGTTTTTTTTGTATACGTGTTCTTTCTATCATGAACAGTCTTTTGAAGACTAAGACTTAAATATTCATATTTGTGTGTGAGAAAGCTTACTTGTATTAACAAACACTGGAATAAGAGGTTAGAAACATCACATGATCATGATTTAGAGATAACTGGTCATGAAATCTAGCAAGTGGGAAAATGTCACATGGAGATAAGAGGTGGTAGAGAATGCAATAAATGCACAAAGTTCAAAGATTTTTCTTCTCTTTATTTAAACACAAATACATTTACAGCATGCAGGTAAGTTAAAACTATATGGCGTCTTCCCCAAACCAATTGTTTTAATGCATCTCAAGTGTACTGAAGTTAAATCATATTCCACAGGTAGACTTGTCCTCTCATGTCAAATTTAGAGTTACACACAGTAGTGAGTCAGCATTTAAGTTATGTAAATAATTTAGTTGTTCACCAGAAATAAATATTATTTCACCAAGTTCCTATCCTAAACCATCTTCTAAAAAATATGATCTAGAGGAACATAAAAATAAGAACCATTCGAAGACTGCAAGTTGAAACAGCAGTGCTGAACATTCCCTGTATAGACTGAGTATTTTACTTTACAAAAAACAGTAATTGTCCTGTCTGGCTGACCTATGACAACCAAAGCAGAAAACAAAAAAAAAAGATTTCTTTTTTTTTATATTTTAAGAGGCAGTTCTTGGTAAACTTCATAAAAGGTTTAAAATTTAAAAAAAAAAGTTTAAATACAAAAAGGTGATGTATACTGAGCTACAAGCTACTTACCATTTACTTATTTATTTTTTAAACACAGCAGTTTTCAGCACCAAAACCCATGACAATAACTACCTACAGGAATGAAACCCCCATTCACGAGCATGAGAAAAAATCCTGCTTCATTTGAATGTACTTTAGAGAAAGTGGGTTTTCTTGTTTTTATGATTGCGTATTAACAATGAAGGTCTGAAAAACTGTAGTTAATGTTGAGAAAGATAACAGACATCACTGTTTCTATTACAGAAAAATTCATTCAAAATAGTTTGCTGTTCTTTTATTTTTTTCTTTCCTCAGTGTGCCATCTTTAATTGTGCTGTAAAACAACTGCAAGTTTGGAGTGTTCAGAAGCCTTAATGAACAAAAGAGTCTCAAAAGCTGGAAACTCTAAAATAGTGAGATTTCCAACTGATACACTCAACCTTTAAAAATCAAACTATTAAAAATTCAGACTACTGTAGATATAGAAAAAAGTGGTTCAAGGTCTAAAATCTGACTACGCTCCATCCTAATATAAATATCTTGTCTATTCATAATATAAAAGTTGAAAGATTTGCTGTCTGAACAGTCTTAGGAGTCTCCACCGTTTCCACAATAACTGATGAACACCCAGCAAAAAATTCAAGCCAGGGCATACCCAGTGGTACCAACTGGGTCTGGAAAGCTAACTGAATTCTTTCAGTAATATTAAGTTCCTTCTTTCTCAAAGACCTGGTAACTAACTTCTCTCCAGAAGGCAGCTGTTCTAAAAATTATAGTGGCTAAACCCTACAAATAAGTTAGTCAAATCATACTATAAAATTTTAAAACCCAGATTCAGCTCAGTGGGAGTAGTGGAACTCAAAAACAACAACAACAAAACGATTTCATTTTGTCAGCCACTTTACAGGACTTTATTGCAAAGAGAAGAAAAATATTCAACAACTGCTACTTTGGACATTTCATATACCTACTTACAAATGGATTACAAATACAATTCAGGGTAGCGCTTTATTATTATTTTAAACATGTCTCTGGGATTTCCAGGTACATCAATTTTAAAAATTTGTATCCTTTATTAGTGTATCTGAATTCATCGGCCAGTTGCTGAAAATTTTTTTTTAATTGAAAGTTAAAATTTTAGCCAAAAATTCCAGTACTGTGTATGTAGTGGAATATCAAGTTAAACTTTAGATTGCGCTCATTTCACTATTATAAAATAGCAAAAGTGAACCATCACAGATACAAATGGATAGACAGGCTTATCAGAATGAAGCAGAATATTTTCACTCCACCAGACTGTACTGTGTGCAGAATCAAGAATAGGACAGATGGGATAATCCATTGCCAAAGTCTTTTTTGTAAACTTAGGTTTACTCTTATTACTGTACAATATTTAATTCTAAATCACCCGATAAACGGGCATTTAATCAGATAACAGTTAAATAGCCTTGTTCATACTGAACTCTTTAGTTCTGTGGTGTAGCGATCGCAGTGCCTTATGGCAGTTGTCGTAAGCACACTTCAGTATTCTTACACTGTACAAATAAATTTAGTTCCAATGCTCTAGGTAGCATTCCAAAAGAAAACTGTAATGTAGAGTGCCGTTCTAATTCAGTGGGACATGTAGTGTTATGTGAAGTGATAAAAATGAAAGCGTACTTAAACACTGTTGCACACTCCCTAAGACAATAAGATGTACACAAATTAAGCTAGAAAATTTGAACTAAGATTTTTCTCAACGTACATTCAGCTTGGCACAGTGCAGACTAAATTTCAGACATGAAAGACAAACTGTGTAATGAGCAGAGCTACACTTTAAGTAACATGTCATTTTTCAAGACGCCAAAATTGCACTCTATTTTTTTGGGGGGAATCAGTTAACAGAATTTGTAGAAGGGGGAAGAGCTGTACAGGCCAGGTATAATTTATACATTTTCAAAAAATAATCCTACAGTCCCCAAAAGGAGAGATTATTGTCATGGAATGGCTCCTCTACACGATATCCACTCCTCCTCACGCTGCAGTTACTTTTCAGCAACTGTAAATGAGAAAAACAGAGTTAAGAGCCTGCACCTCACATAAGCCAAAAAAGCCAAGTTATTTACATTTACAGTAGACCATGTTTGCTGCTTACACAGAGTAAGAGTCCAATTCTTAGACCACTCAGATAAGTGCTCACAAAACACCTGCTTTAGAATAAGAAACTACGCAATGCAAAGCAGCTGAGCAATGCTGTCTGTTACCAACAAATTTACAGCTGATTAAACTGACTGGGTATCCAATTTTGATTGCCCTAACAGAGTAAACATTACAAACAAAACCCAATTATAACCCAGCTCCATTTCCCATGACTGCTGCTACTTTGCCAGGCCAGTGAGAACTGTCTGCATACCACCTACCAGCTGCTGCAAAGTCTTGACTTAGCTATTTGGAAAGATGAAACAAAAATTAAGAGATCATTTGGCATTAATCATCCTAAAATGTTAGATTTGCTTAGGGAAATAAGAATTTACCATCTCTGTGTTCTTTTAATGTTCCCAGAATAATTTATTAAATGGTGGTCTCCAAACGTAAAACAACACATCATGTTCCTACTCTAAAAAAAAAAGTTCTTCTCTAACAAGAAGTCAGATGCTTAATATTTGTATTAATGCTCAAAACCAGACATTACCACAGAGAAAAATGATACTGGCTATCTGAGCATTCACAAGCTCAGAACAGGTTGGTATTTAATAGTAAAATAAAGTTCAAGGAAGTTTTGTTCCTTTACTTTCATAAGGGACAGGTTCTTCCAAAAATGAGATAGGAAAGTTGAAATAAATTATGACCACTCTTCTGCCTTTAAGCAGTAAACTCTGCTTGGTTCTGCAGCAACAGGTAACATGCTGACATTAGAAAAATTGTATGAAAGCTTTACAACTGCTCAAGAGATTCTGTAAGCATATCACATGGGAGTTTTTTGGTTTGTTTGTTAAAAAGGAGTTCTAGTCAATACTTTGCAATTTTCTACTCCTTCCTGATAGATCTACAAATAGTCCAAAAATCAAAGTGCTAAGTCTCCTATTTAAATTCCCCAGAAACAACAGTGAAAGTTCTTCTCCAAAGCAAGATGCGAGCTCAAAATTTAGTTATTTATTGCTTATTATATCAAGAGACACTAAATAGGCTCTCTTCAGTTAGAATTCTAGGCAGCATCAGAGCATGTGCAAACTCATGCTAAAGTAGGCATCTAGAATAAATCGGGTCAATCATACCTTGAAATGTCTCTACACTGGACAGCTGAGATAGCTACTTGGACTAAAAAGGCAATCTATCTGAAGATTAATTTCACCATATCAACATAATCAAGAATTCACGAATTGCCAGCTCCTTGGTCACTCAAGGTAAATGTTACTAAAGGTTGAAGTATATATGACTTCAACCTCTTATTTACTAATAGACACTACTGAACATAACCAGGTGCCCTAGCTAGTACTACAGTCTGATTTTCTCTAAACTGGAGAGAATTTTGAAAAGTCAGTCAGCTAGTAAGAAGAAACAAACGAAAAGAAGATTAACGTAAACTGCTCTGGAGCCGTCAAAAGAGAAGCACCCAGGATTCAAGCACCACACCATCATTTTCGGAGTATTTTCAAATTGAATAAGCAGATAACCTTAAGGGAATGCCTAGAAGACATTCATACAAATGCTTAGAAGTGAAGGTGACAACAGGGAATGCAGCAAAGCATTACTGTTAGGTGACCAACAGACCAACTATAATGCAGACGTTAATTAACAAGAGACATGGTTCTGTGAGCTACCTAGGCATAAAGTACCAAACTACGTATAATTACTTAGGAGATTAGACACATTTTCTAATAAGTGCACATACTAATTTCAATTACTGTAACTGTATTTTAACTAGGCTAACATTTTAAATTTACCGGATGAAGACATGAATTTTTCTGTTAAATACTTCCAAATTACTTACACATGAAGCAGTTTGCAATTGTAGTAAATTGCAAACAAACAACATATAAGAATAGGGTCTTTTTTTTGTAGTTCATCTCTGAATATTTTCTAAAGAAAACTGTGTTAAAATAAGATACTAACAAGCCAAAAGAATTTAAGCCAAAAGAATTTTGACTATCCACTCCTTTCCCAAATAGTACCTACTGGCTGTGATCAGTAACTACCTCCAATTGACTGTTCTCACACTTTGTTCTACTCCAGCAAAACAACTCCAGAACCACAATTTTAGAACACCAGTTTTATCATAAAAGCAGGAGCAGCACTAGTCAGATGTGCATGTATACTATTCCTCTAACTATATAATTCTGTAAAAAAAGAAGTTAATCTGATTATTCGAGTGATTTTATGCCACAGAATGAGCTGTAATAAAACTAATACAAAGTGGTTTAGTCACACAAGCTTACACTTTGTCTTGCCGTCCTCCACCTCCACGCAGTGCAACTGGCTGGCTGTTTTGAGTGAACGCACCTCCACCACGAATTGCACTTGGATGAGTTGGAGAAGCTGCTGGATGCTGGCCAGGACGGATAGGCTTAGCTGCATGACAAGAAATATGACTTACAAATATATACATCACAAGTTTACCTTTGATTATTCAAATTTACTAATGCTTTGTTTTACAGTATCCCAAATGTAACAATCAAAATTGAATGCTATTTGAATAAGAAAACAAGTTTAGGAGATAGTATTCTGAAAATATAACTGATGAATACCAACTATAACAAGCCCTGAAAAGCAAAAACTTTGTCTATTTTTATCATCCCTATTAGAATTAAAGCTAGCAAAGCTTGTGATAATGTATTTTTGATAATGCATATATTATCTGCCCCACATAAGGTATTTCCCTGAAAGAGTCCTATTTCTTGGCAGTAAGAACTCAAATAAGACACATTGCTAGACCAAGTTTCACAAGGGTTATGTTCCTCTAAGGAATCATTACAGCCTGCTTTATTTCCCACATCTCTTGTTTGATAAGCCACTAGTTACTCTGCTCTGCAAGCGGCTCTGCATACCAATTAACGCCACAGGTAACACTGCTTCATCAACCTCTTACCACCACATAAAAATAAAACTTGCTCTATAAATGATTTCAAAAAAAGTAGTTTTGACAGGTAATTCACAAGCTCCATACACTTTGATAAACTGTATTTTCAATTAGTTTTGCACTAACTCTTGAACAGGACATGCACAAAAGTATGACTTCACCAAGTTCTGTACTACTAAACAGAGGCATTTAAAGTTACAGCAGGTAAGAGTGAATATGAAGTACCTACAGGTATCAACTGCATCACAGAAACCCTTCTCAATTTCTGCCTTATAGGAAGTTTGACTCCAGTAAGACATGCCTAGTTCAACGAGACATTTGAGTACCAGAGGCTTTATATTTCTGGTAAGCTCACTAGAAAATTCTGTTTGTCTTCTTGGAGATCACTTGAGAGACAGACAGACAGGAAAGCACCTGTCTTCAAGCCACCACTTGAAGCAATCAAGAAAAAAATTGCAACTTTATTCTGCAACAGCTGTTTGCAGACCTACAGAACACGAGCAAAGTTTAACTGCAACACTCGTTTCAGTTGCATTACTATTTAAGAGAAGTGTATTGATTACTGAGGTCCTGACATAGGACAACAAAAAGGCTGGAACACATAGTTACTTCTACAACAATAATGTAATAGGCACAGTTAAGTCCTCCATAGATCACAAACCCTTGGCCCTCAGCACTTCACAGCATAACAGCAGGTGGAGGACCAAGGGAATATGACTGCCACCCCACCACACAGTAAGAAACACTACTAGCTACTACAGATTTCTGGTTTTTCCATTCTTTTCCCCTAGGGAGGGCTATGGAGTACTACATATTTTGGAACAAAGAATCAAAAAGGCAAATAGGGATCTTAGGATGTTAGTTGTGGATTTCTGTCTGCCCCTCTCCCACAAGATCAAGAGACAGCAAGACAATTTTGTTGTTGTTTAAGGTGATATCTTAATCTTACTTTGGAATACCTACTTAGTCTTGGAAATTCATACGGAATTATGTTAAAGACCCAAGACTCTCATTCAGTGTATTGTTTTGTTCTAGGAAATGGAACACATTCAGACTAGAATTCTAGGTTAGCAAGCCTTTACCAGCATGTACAAAAATCCAGCTACCAGGAAGAGACTCATTTAAAATAAACAAATCAACCAACCAATCATGTACCACTACCCACCCACGCTTATGGTCTATTAACCAAAATATAACTCACAGATAATACACCACGTTCACACATGCAGTTCCAACTAGGGTGGAAAGATGTATAAAGATAAAAAAAAAAATCAGGAGACAGATGAAGCTTTACAGGAATTCTTTACTAACCAATCTGGGCAGAATGTCCTCTTCTGGCCATATTCTTGGATCTTACAGCTTCCTTTATACGATCTACTTCTTGCTGATACCGTTTGCGATCACGAGAAGCATTCTCTTTGGCTTCCTTCAGCGCAGACTCCAAAGCTTTAACTCTTTCAGCTGTAGCTCTAAGTCGCTTCTCCAGTTTAGGAAGTTCACAGCGAAGATCTGCATTATCACGTACCAGCTACAAAAATGGAATTGATTATTGTCTTGGTATCTCTCTCTTCATGGGGACAGCCAACCAAACACCCTCCTAAACAGGCAAAGCAGCAGGGCTACTATGTTATCTTCGCTTAAGCTTTTAGTAAATCTAATAGTTCATCAGTAAGATTATCATTTGAAAATCAGTTACTGTGGAAGAACATGCTACCCAACATAGGCACTTAAAGTCTACATTCTTTCAGTCAGAGACAGGCAAGCATCCCCCAGACTAATACACTAACTCTAAACACTAACTTGCATGTTCTTCAGTTTAAATCCAGCTATTTTGTTACACACTCACATGCACTTAAAATGGCTATTCATTTACTCTACAGGAAAACTTTAGTCTGTTGTTTTATATCAAGAGACACACTCAAGATGAAGTATCTAATTATAAAAGTTACTTTATGGCCAATATGCGTTCAGTTACTTCTACAATAATGCACCTTAAGTAGTTTGTTTTCAATTAAAACTTGAAATTAAGCCTCATCATACCTGCTTATGAACCTTTGTAAGCTGTTCAAGATTATTCTCAAGGAAGGAAATCTTCTGTTTTTGAGCAGCACTGCCTCCTGTGTCATCCGAGTCTATCTCGGCACTCTGCAGTAACAAAGGCATGGGGAGGGAGAGAGGAGGCTGAGTACAAATCTGAGCTTGCATATTAAGATCAAGCCAGAAAAATTACACTGCATAAAGATGAATTCCTAATTTAGTTTCAAACTGAAATTTATGTAGCCTTCTCAGAAACATCAGATTTCATTCAGCACCACGTTACCTTTTTCACTCTAGTAGCCAGATCTTGAACAAACAGCTTTCGAAGATTGTGAAGAGTCTGAAGTTCTTTTGCCTACAGTTAAGGACAGGAATTAAAAACTGAAAAAAGTAATTTAAAAAAAACAACTCTGAAGAGGAAAAAAAAGCAAGCATTGACATTTGATTCGGAACATATTCTGACTATCTTACCACAGTCTCTTCCAAGCCCTTTAAATCTTGCCTCGCTTGTTCCCGTCTGTCCTGCATAACCCTAAAAGAGAATAAATTCATTCTGAAATGTCCACACAAAATTGGAAATTTTAATGTTTTAGGAGACTACAGTGATAAGCACTATATGGTACAAATGAAAAATGTTTTTCAGTTGAAGTCCTCAATTAGGGATGTAACCAACACATGACATCATACTCAGAAATTTAAATGGGGTGGGGTGGGAGTGGAGGAGTTGCAGGAGGAAAAGAAGGAAGTACTTTTAATATTGAAGGAATACAACCAAGTACATTCAGATGCTTAATTGTAAGTTTCTAGACTAGAATCACAGAATCATGTAGGTTGGAAAAGATCATCAAGCCCAACTGTTAACCTAGCACTGCCAAGTCCACCACTAAATCATGTCACTGAAGAAAGACTACCAGAGTCAGGTTCAGGATGAACCTTACCTACAAATGTTTTTAGCTCCGACCAGCTCAGATGACAAGTTTCACATGACAGATTAAGGTGTGGGGTTTTTTTTTCCCCAAAGCTATCATCATAAACAACAACCTCAGTTTACACGAATACAATCTAATGATTATCACTTTACAGAGCTTCTGTCTTCCTATTTCATATGAAAGCATTTACTTCACTGCTAATGTTATCTCTCAGTGCAATTACTAATATGACAGGATACAGGAAAGGAATTTGGACTTCTCTTTTGAGTCAAGGTTGGAATAGGAAGGCCAGGGACTGTACGAAAATGAAGGGTTCCTATTAAGTAGCCAAAAAGTTACTCTTCCTTTTGAAATTTCTTCTCAGTCGGCCAGTTCCACTACTAGTTCACAGCTAAATAATTAAACATTTAAGGTAATAAAATATTCTAAAGAGTATCTCAGCATCCTATCCATTTTCCAAAACTTACTGGAAAGGTAGTTCCAGGCATGTTACACAAGTCCAAAAAAAATTAATACAATGTGAGTAATCTGCATTGTTGCTGGCCTGTCGTTAGCAATGCACATTTATGACATACGATGGAAAATAACTGAATTCAAGGCAGCTGGGTGAGGACGCAGAATACCAAACTAATTTTTAATGTTTCTTGGCAAGTCTTTTGAAGAGGAAAATTTCTAAATAGCAAGTGCCTTTAAGGGAGCAATGTCATATGTAGTTTAGCCTGCAAAATGAAATAAGAAGCTGTAATGCAGTACGTATATGAAATCTTACAAGACAGGAAAACCTATTGCAACTAATGTAGTTTTCGTAATCATCGTGGCACAGAAATAAACAAGATGGATTCACAAGATCAGAGTAGTAAAATTTTAGTCAGTTAGGCTAACATTGTATTTCATAGTAAGGCTAAAAAAAAAGAAAAAGAATAAAAGAAAAGTGTTGCTTATTGGTTACCAGTACAGACCAATCGAGTCCATCTGATTATTTCAAATTGTATGATAAAAACCTGAAAGCTATCGAGTGTTTTTAAACATGGCCAACAAGTGTGTACTTTTGAAAAAGTTTTAAGTATAATGTAGTTTATCTTCTGTAAAGATACATACATGGCAGAAAATGATCACTACTAATACTTTAGAAACATTTCCAGGAGATTACAGTCAGATTTCTAGAAGTTGAGAACTGTTTTTCAGCTTGACCCTTGGATACTTATCTGCAAGCAGAATTCAATTCTGATTTTTGCATTAACTCTTCAGTCTAATTCACTAATACACTAATACACTGTATTTAGTTGCTCAATTAAGCATGCAGCTGTTTCATCTCCAGAGTAAGCCAGTTAGAACCAGTTTAGTTAAACGACAAAAGAACCAAAAAAAACAGTAAGGGAACACAAGAATCAAAGAAAGAGTAAGGGAATTGTTACAAGCGTCTTCCAGTCTTACAGCATGCAATATTTAGCTGAAAATTGAAAGTCAATTACTCCAACCTATAGCATATTAACAAAGAAAAAGTTGTGGCCTTCGTATCTCTCATCATTCAACTTCCCATTTTAAATATTAAAGTAGTACAAAGGTTTTAAAAAAGTGAAGCTCAAGAAGGCTCTGAAGCCTCTCTCAATAAGCATATCATACAGTGAGAGCCACTTACATGTTCCCACACACATTTCGTTTTACAAGCAACTACCACTTACGTCAGTTCATGCAGTTTTCTACTTTTCTCCTGATCAGTTGCTTTCAACTTCTCATGCTCAACTCTAAGACGTTCCTGTTCAAGCATCATCTTCTGGTTTTGGCTGAACACAGAAAGTAAATATTAATCAACTGAACCTGTCAGACATGACATTCAGTAAAGCAACACAAGTTAGAAAGACACTGCTTGAGGAAACCCTTGCCACTGCCTTCCCATCATACTGTGCTTCTGTACTCACACAGTCCAGAGACACTTGGCACTAACAAATAAGAACAATCACTTACTCTTGAAGTTCAGTGATAAGTTTCTCCTTTGCATCGACTTCATCCCTTAGGCTACTGATTTGTTTCTGATGTGTCTCACGATGACTCTGAATTTGCTGTTCCACTGCTTGCTGTTAGAACAAACAGTATGTTTTACATGCTTTAAGAAGCTGTCACACTTTTTTTTTTAAAAAAAAAAAAACAATGAAATTAATTTACCTTGACTTCATTTGCAGTTTGAACCTTATTTAAGTGCTCTTTCTCCATCTCATGGACTTTTTCTAGTATGGACAGAGGAGAGAAAAGAACACACCATTCAGCAAAGTAACTAGGTGACCATAGGGAAGACTGTTATTCCCCCTTCCCTTCCCAACACCTTAAAACTTGGAAGAAGTTCCCTCTCACCACAAAGATCAATTAAATCAGTAACATCTTTAGTTTAATCCTATCCGCAGCAGTTCTTTCAAACAGCAAACATGTTTTCCTG